GGTATCGTTCTGTGAGTCAATGTGGAAGTTTTTCAAATGTTGGCAGTAGGCAAACAAGTCGTCGTTACTGCAGAATACTGACAAATTCGGAAAATTGTGAAACTCACGTCTGCCCATATTCTTTTTGTGTAGAAGTAGTTTGGCTGCGAAAGCAGCAACGACATTTTTGTTTTAATTAAATTTTGTTCATCGCCTTGCAGCAAAAAGTATTGTTTGCTGACGACACATCCTTGACTTTTAAAACAGACAAACATGACGTTAACGATGACAATATTAACGATGCCCTCTCAAGATAGTTTATTGCCCAATGCCAGGAAGACAAACTGGGTTAAATTTGAAGTACCTAATGTAAAATCTACGAGTCCAATCATAGAAATAAATGGAGAAAAGTTAGACTTTCTTAACAAAACTGTCTATTTGGGAGTGACCTTAGATAGTAAACTTCAATGGTTTCCACATATACATAGATATATAGATGGAAGATTCTTTAGCCAGCAGATTAAGGTCTGCTGTCCGTAGAAATACGGTGGCTTGCCGATGTTGCTTCTGCTAGACTAGTTTACTTTATTTACTTCCATATTATAATGTCCTACGGGATTCTCATGTGGGGGGAAAGCGGCAGATGTACAAAGCATATTTGTATGGCAAAAACGAGCGATTCGTTCTGTGTACCGTTTAGGTTCTCGGGTTTCTCTCAGACAAATGTTTAAGGAGACTGGTATCATGACTGTGACAACACTATATATTTACTCAAATATTTTGTATGCCCGGAAAAATATATCTACATAATTTCAGTAAGAAAGAAGATATCCATAATATTAACCTTATAGAACTAAGTCCAAACTCATAGTGCCACGATTTCGTTTAACTTAACGTAAATGGTTATTTTGTGGAGACTGTATACGTTTAAACAATAAGATTCCGGAGCATAATATATTAAGATATTTAAGACTAACATTGACCTTATGAAAACTAACAATAAAAGTATTTTGATTGAAAAGTCATATTACAAAATTGAAGAGCATGTGTTAGATAAACATGTATGGAAAGGCAACATGAGTCTAGATTCTACACAATTATGATTCAATGCTTATCCCATAGCAAATGCTAAAAGGGCAATCCCAAGAGTTTCTTGCTCGTTCTTTTCAGGGAGGTCAGGGTAGTGAACGAGCTGTAGCTTAAAAAATGACGTGTTCAAGTGTAAAATTTTTTACGTACGTAATAAATGATTATTTGAATTTGACTTGAATTTATTCAACTCCTCTTTTATCACTACGCCAAAATTACTATCTGTAATAATAAAATTTTACTTGATTAGGAATGGAATATGGAAACTAGTAAGCTCTTTAATTTGCAGTACTTGCTTGCCAAAAAGCCTATTCAATGCGTCTATCCGGGCCTGGCTCAGTGCAGTCTGGCTGCCAAATTGGTGAACATTTATCGGGACCCATAGCGTTGCCAAAATGCCTATCCTCTAGTACATTTTGTCTTTTTTCTATATGTTTAAATGCCTATGGTTAAGCCTATACTTGATTCTAGGTACCTACTTCTTAAGCAGAAGTTATCATATATATGAAATTCACAAGCGGTGTGAATAAAGCTTTTTTATTTGTGTAGGTAAATGTTACATTATTATGTTTGTTTATTTCAAAGGCCATAATAGGTACTTCAGACACAGATTTACAAAGCGCATAACACCGTGCGGGTAGTCGCTTTGATGGACGCCAGCGTAGAGGATGGAATAAAAAACATAGTCTAAGGACTCCAGTCACACTATCACATCAATGTGAATAAAATTGAAGTAGAGGGCACATTAAATTTAATATATTATGGCACAGTGTAAAGAACATACAGAAAAAAGCACTTGAATTAAAAAACCTTTTCTAATGAATAGAAAAAGTTTGTCTTCGGATGCGTTCTGAATTTACACCTCATCAATTTTTATTGTTGTTTGTATTTTTATTTTGTGTGCAGATTATTGAAATTATTTTAGTTCTTCGACGAATTAAAATAATTTATTGAACACAATTAGTTATCATTGTCAATTTACTGTCAACAATAATAAGATATAATAAAACAAGAATAAAATATACCAATGGATTTATGTTACATAAATAATAATGTACGACAAATGGCTTAATTGAACGTGCTATTATCTTTTTATTTCATCGAAAGAAAAAGTTAGGTGCACCACAGTCCATCCAGTCCAAGTTCGAATTCCAAAAACCTTTTCCACGCTACGTGCAAAAATGCTTTTGCGCACAGATTTCTAAGGAGAAAGAAAATCTTTCCGAGCTAGTGAGTGTCGTTTTCTCTGTTTCATCCGTTTTAATGGTATTTATTTTTATTTATTGATACGAAATAGGTATTTATTTAAGTATTTATAAATTTATTCATAATTTTATGTTTTTTTTATTATTATTACATTTTTTTTTGTTGTGCACGTAAACTCGCTATTGTAATTATTGTGTTCTGTATTTAGGTTTGCAAGAAGAAATTTCTGTTACAAATAAGCAGTACCTTTTTTTTGTGTTTTCCTTGTTGCAAAATATGTGTTTTTTTTTTCTAAGCTAGGGGAACCGATCCTTGGTGGCAGGGCTGTGAGTATTTCCGCAGAAGTTAAATATTTAGGGATAACCCTAGATCAAACCCTAAGGTGGAACTGCCAATAGAAAAATAGCTAACACGGTCAACAAGGCCAAGATGGCCTTAGGTATTTGTAATCGTATGGCAGGACAGCGTTGGGGTCTAAAACCAAAGAAGACTCTCTGGTTATACAAGGCCATTGTGAGGCCCATAGTGACATATGCCTCCGTTGTTTGGAGTAGTAAAGTCAGTCAAACAACCACTATTGCCACATTGGGCAGTCTACAGCGTGGCGCGTGTCTGCTGCCAACGGGAGTCATGTCCACTGCTGGGGCGGCCCTAAATGCATTGCTGAATTTGACTCTAATCCATGTATTCATACAGAAGGAGGTCGGTAACAGCATGTATAGGCTCACCACCAGGTTAGGAACTAGGTGGCTCTCCCAGACATTGAGATCGGCCCAGGATTCAATTCTGGAACATCCTGTTCTGAGAATGACTTCTGATGTCATGCTTCCCAAGCAAAACTTAAGGAAACTCTACCAGGTTACTAATTTCTAACCAGGGAAAAATGTGGAAACTAACAGTCTCTCACCTGGAAGGACAGTAGCCTTCTTTGGTATACGGGTGGGTCCAAGGTGGGACCCAACGTAGGCTGTATACAGGGCGTGAGACCGAGATTCAGCCACAAGCCGAACATGGGACGACACCGCTCTATCCTTTAGGCCGAAATATACGCCATAATTGCTTGTGCGGATCTAAACCTGAAGAGGGAGTCGTTAATTATATTTATATAAACTCAGATAGTCAAGCCGCTCTGCATGCACTAACCTCAGTCACCCAAACTTCGAGGATTGTAGAGAACTGCGTAACTATACTGAATACTCTCGGCGAAAACAATAATGTGGTCCAGCCTTGGCTTCCAGGTCACTCTGACATCGAGGGTAATGAAGCAGCGGATGAACTGGCAAAGGCTGGTGCTAGGGAGGCCTTCACTGGTCCTGAGCCTTTTATAGGGATAGCACACAGCCTGGCAAAGCTCACTTTGCTGAACGAGAGCGCGCACGTCTCTCGTAACGTGTGGCTGCTGACTAAGGGTCTTGAGCATTCAAATTGTTGCCTTCAGAGCCAAATACTGTAGAGAAGCTCTGTCACTGGACAGGAATGACATCACAATGCTGACTAGAGCCTTAACATTAGCATTGTAGTGAGGGGGTCTACACTCGATCTCCGTCCGATCTCCGTCCGAAACAATTACTACCAAATAAGCAATACTTGACCAAATGAAAAGACGCGTGATGCGAATGAAGCTTCATACCTGATACTTGTCTTTTAATTTTGTCGAATATTACTTATTTGACAGTAATTGTTTCGGACGGATGTCAGACCGAGATCGAGAGTAGCCCCCTTGAACAAGCACATGTCAAATATTGGACAAAGAGAAAACAGAGAATGTAGATTCTGCCACGAGGCGGATGAATTTCCTGTGCTTCTCCTCACTCAGTGCTGCTCTCTAATGGGAGTAAGAAGTTCCATACTGGGTAGGCACAGGCCACACCCAGAGGACTTAAAAACTGTCGGAGTCAGGAAAGTCCTTCAGTTCCTTAATGCTGTTGGTCTCCGAACTGTAATTAGTGGTGATCACAACAGATTATTTAATGGTCGCAGTGACGAGGGGCCTCATAGGCCTCAAATAAAACCACCCTAATACTAATAATAATAATGTATAATTTTCCCACAAATCACTTTAATACTCATACGAAATATTTAAATTAAATGTGTCAACTCTGAATGTTATGTCCCGAACGAGTGTATGGCAATTCAGGCTCGCATCCGCCCTAGCACAGCCTGCACTATTGTTCTGTCTAGTTGTGTCCGTTGAACGGTTGTGGGAAATATTGGTTAGACTGTGGTAAGACTATGAGTGAAAAACTATGACTGTCTTCTGCGCTTGGTACGAGTGTATACCAACCTATATAAACGATGATGATTACGGGTCTTCACTGGAAATTCTTCAATAAAATGTATAAAAATGAATTATAAAAAGAGCGTTCAAACCAGTGGTTTTTTATGGAATTATTTGATATATTTAACGGTAAGTAGCGACATCTAGCGTCAAATGGAAGACAATTTTAACTGTCGCCATGTCGGAAACGACATCGTATTTGCAAGGTTAGCTATAGCTAAAGAGGGAGCGTGTTGAATAGTGTTATATACACTATTCAACATATCCGAGTAGGTGTTATTTTAGCGATAATATAAATCTTAGAACAATCATTTCAACAATTAATACTCTGAAGGAAATAGGTATAGGGAAACGTGTTTAAAAACAACAGCGTAGATCGGGTCGTGTTTTCGAACGTTTTTTGTCAGTGTCAGAAATCTGTCAAAATTGGCCTTCATTCTATTGCTCCCTGAAATCGTATTGCAAAGTGTAAGGTGTTTTGTAATGTGATAAATTAAGTGAAGTGAGTGCTGAGGTGGATGGTGTGTTAAGGGGCAGGGCGCAGCTTGGGCGGCAGAATGACGTCGCGCAACAAAAGCGCCGTGCGCGGCTTTGAGGCTGAGATTGAGAAGAGCCGCGAGGAGGCCAACTGGAAGAAAGCCGTGGAGCTGGCAGAACAGCTTAAAGCACGCTCCCCGCAGCATGGTCAGTGCCATCTCCCTGCCCCATTCTGCGCTTACGTTGCAAACACCAGCCCTACTTCACATGTCCATGAACTTGAATGGCTTCTTATCTGGCAATCAAAGTGCAACATGACGTTGAATTATTTGTATTGTTGAGTCATCTTGTTCCATCTGTTATTTTTGCATTTCCATATATTAATTGTTTTTGTGAAATTGTAATAGCCTCATCTTACTTACAAAGTTATCATACATTACTTACTTACAGAAAGTCTAGCACATTTCCTCATCGGTGAAGGAAAATTGGAGGCGTTTCTTGATGAATACCCTCCTTGCAAGGAGAACATCGAGCGAGCACAGCGGGAGCTCACAAATGCCAGTGGGTTCCTCAATTTGGCCACACAGGAGGCAGGCAAGAAGGCCGGTGTGGCGCTTGATGCACACCTGCTCCTCGGCAAGCTTAACTATGCTTGTGGCTCTTATGAGGAGGCCCTTAAACATTACAAAATGGCTGAACTCAATACACTTACTGAGAAAGAACTACCTGTGTAAGTCTATTTACATTACTTCTATTTATATGTATATCTTTTTTATAAATTTGTAAAGTTAAAATATTGCTTGAAAAACCATAGGTATGTGGATTTTAAAAAAATCTATAAGGTTATATAGATGGCGAAATATTATGTGAATTGATTCGTGTTATCGCTTCATCTGTTGAGTACAATAGGACAAAAGAGTTCACCGTCTCGGTAACGCGCGTGCCATCTGTGTAGTACAAACAACTAGTTTAAATACATTTATGCATTGAGACTTAGTTCTAAACTTGATAATATTTATGCGTAAAAAACTTCTGGCATAAGTAAGAAAATAATTGGCAGTCAATATTTTACGAACAATCTACTGTTAAAAAAAGTACAGAAATAATTTTTTTCTTTTTTTTCATACACACTCAATATAGCCCCGCACTAGGTAAATCCTGTGTCGAGGGTGATGGAACCATGGTGTAATTTGTTGTTGTCTAGGTGATGTGATGACAACCACAAATTACACCCAAACTCACGAAAGATATAAGTGTAAGCCATACAAATATTTTACCCGGCCTGGGAATCGAACTTGGGACCTCTGCGTGGCAGTAACCAGGTAACTATTCGGCCACAGAAGCAGTTTGCAATAATAATTGAAAACTAGAATTCAGAAAAAGCATTTAGTGCGCCCATGACTGGTATGATGGACCAAGATCGTTAAAGCCTTGTACGCTTTAAAAGCAGTATTAATGGTTGTTACCCTATTGTAATAGAAATAATATTTCTTCAACTACACCACATTAGTCTTTAAAGTTATGTTCTATGCAATGTTCCTTTTATAAATAATTAAAGACAATGGTCAATAAATTATTATAGTAATCATTATTAAACCATAATAATAAGCATAAAATGATTGCTTTATTATTGTAGAAACAACATTCAAAAGTAATTTCTGACTAATATAAGGAACTGTAAACAGAATTGATGAGTGATTCATGTGTGTGTTATTTCCTAAGCATTCTGATAATTTTTTGCTACTGCTGATGCCAAAATGAAGTCATACTAAAAAACCTCATAATTGTACTGTGTTCTAATAATGTTTTGAAGCTAGAGGTTTTTTATTCCCCGTCTCTGCATTTTTAAGAGATTATAAACAAGAAATTTACTTTTATTTTTTGGAAGTTTGATCTCATAATATTTCAATGTATATAGACCATGAGAATTTTTTCATTAATTAGAGTTAAAGAAAGAAAGAAAAATTGTTTATTCTTTTAACAAATTACAGTACAGTACACTCACATTATATGATTTAACATATAATAACATAAAATTTGACAAAACTTATCAATAATTTGACTAATATCTAAAATAAATTAAATAACAAAATTGAAATAACACGGTGTGTGCTGTGCTATTATAGAATGGCAGTTGATGCAAATAAAGGTCCCAGAGCTGTATAAGTAACAAAAAAGAAATGATTCTGTATTTATGACTCATTGTTTGTTGAAAACATTTCATTGTGGAACATCCATTTTTTATAGGTTATTTAAAGCTCTAGTCTATATTATATAGTCAACAGTGAGTTGAATAGCTAATTTAGATAAATTTATTTTTGATTCTTGGTTCCCATTAGAATATTGCATTTCTGGAGGTAAATATGTTTACATGAATTTTATGTTTCTTCTAATGACAACAGCAATGTTATATGTATATTTATAGCTTGTTTATAGCCTGTTGTTCACACAGTTTAATATGTTTATTTAAAAAAATAAGTTAACAATTAAATAAATCTTTGATTAAATATACATATTGTTGAATAATATGAATCTGTAAACATTGTGAATTTTTTTCATAAAAAAAATATTATTCCAATAGTTGAAAATTTTGAATATTGTCTTTGAACCATTTAGTCACATTTCTTACTTTGAGTTATCAAATGAAATACAAATAAAAAACAATGAACCCACCATGCATTGGGTCAGATGTAGTGTGATGTAATCAAATGTTATTGTGAGCAGGCGCAGTCTACGCATCGTGGCGGAGTCGTACGCCATCAAGGGCCTATGCCTGGAGGAAAGTGCGCCGCCTTCCTCCTCGCGGTACAAGCAAGCCGAGCGCGATGCTGAGATGGTAACTGCTTTGTTACAACTCTATTACTTCTTGATTCATTAAATATTATGACATAGTCGTTGTGCATTATAGCATAAATCTATGCAGCCAATTGAAGTTCAAGGAAATTGCTGGTGTTTTAAATTCATTGTACTTATTAATATTATGGTAATTATATTTGAGCCCACTAAAGATATCTTGTTTCTTATACCTGATATTGTGTTTATAAATTGTACAACACATTCGCCCTGATGTAGCTACGTCATAATGACATTGGGAACAGTACTTCGGAGCTTAAGCTGCTGACATGGTTGTGGAACAAAAGTTGGAAATTTGAAAAGATGTTGTTGACACGAGTCCAAAATGTCTGATCGTGTTTTTAGGCCACACGTTTATGGACATTATCGACTTTTTTCCCAATTATCAGCATTTGGCTATTAACTTTTAAAAGAAGCATAGAAACTATTACTGCAGTGAATACGATAAGAAATTCAAATTTACGAAGTTGTGGTTTTCTCGTGTGTTTTTCATAACTTTTCAAATGCTGAGTTACTTGTTACTGTATAAATTCAAAGAATAAAAAGCTTTCAACAATAGGAAAATAATGTTTTTCATAAATGAATATATTTATGAACAACCAGAGTTAATATGGCATAATAGCGTAACCAATAAAACGTCCGGAACTTTTAGAGCTCTGATCGCGTAGTCCTTTAACGGTACTCGCATTATGGTTGCAGATTCGCAGCTACGAGCTGGCGTCGGAGCTGACGCTGCTGTATCTGCAGCGCACGGGCGGCGCGGGGGGCGCGGGGCCCGTGCTGGAGACAGCGCTGCAGCGCGTGCCCATCCTGCACATGCGCGCCATGCGGCTGCACAGCGCCATCGACAGGTGCGCTTCCCCCGCCTCCGCCCCGCCCCGCCCTCGCCGCGCCGGCCCCGCCCGCCTGACCACTGTTGTGCCGGCAGGTACCGCAGCATGCTGATGGCGGTGGAGGCGGCGGGCACGCAGGCGCTGCGGCTCACGCTGGCGAGGCAGCTCGCCGAGGTGTTGCTTCGCGGTGTCACCGGACAGGTGCGTGCTCGACGCCGCTCTTTTGTACGTTTTCGTCTTAGGCTTCTTCGAGACGAGCGGTCGCCTCGCTGCGGGTGCGTCTTCCCGTGAGTGGTTAAGTTTGCTTATAAAAAAAAGTGTGCGGAATCTTTCGCAAATTGTGATAAATTTGTAATAAAAAAAAGTAAATAATATATAATTAAAAAAAAATAAAGAAGCCCGCGACTGTACAGGTGTACAAGACGGTGGAAGCGCCACGCTCGACTTCGCAGACGACGGTCGGCTCGCTGCCGCGCCGCGACCAGGTCGTCGCGGAGGGGCCCTGGAAGCCCAAGAAGTATGCCGGTCTCAACCAGGTGCGGGCGCCTACTCCGTTCCTTATACCGAACGACTCGTTCCAAGTTTCGTAACGTTTCGTTCGACCGCATCGCGATTCGCGTGTCGTTCGTAACAAAAGCGGAGGACGTTCGCAGTTCGTGCCGGCGAACGAGTTCGAGGAGGTGCTGCTGGTGCTGCTGGTGGGCGAGGCCATGGCGGTGCGCGACGCCGTGCTGTCGCAGGCGCCGGAGTTCGGCGCGGCGCGCGACCACGCGCTGCACAACGCGGTGGCGCTGGTGGACCTGCTGGCGCTGGCCGCCACGCGCTGGGGCCAGCTGTGCCTGGTGCTGGAGGTGGGTGGCCGCGGGTCCGCGCGTCGGCGGCGGGGCCGGGGCTGACGCGTCGCTGTTGCAGTCGCTGGAGCGGACCATGAAGTTCTCGTTCGGCTGCGCGCACGTGTGGCGCCAGCGCGCGCTGGCCACGGCCGCGGCCGCCGCGCCGCCCGCGCGCCCGCCGCCCTTCGGCGACTTCGTCTCCGCCGGTGAGTCCTGTCTCCGGGCGAGGGCCGCCCCGCAGCCTGACCGCCCGCCCGCCTGACCGCCCCCGCCCGCAGGCAGCCCCGCCTGGACGCTGGGCGTGCGCGCGCACGGCGTGGCGCAGCGCGCGCTGCAGCTGGCCCCGCGCGACGCCGCGCTGCGCCTCGTGGCCGCCAACACCTGCTACAACATGGGCTGGGTAGGGCCTCGCCGCCGCCGCCCCCGCGCCCGCCCCGCCCGCCGCTCTCACCCGCCTGTTGCAGCTGCGGGAGGGCGTCGAGCTGGCCGAGGCGGCGCTCAGGATCGAGGAGGAGGGCGACGGCGAGATGGAGGCGCGCGCCTGCCTCTTCGTCGGCATCGGCTACCAGATGAAGGCGCAGGCGAGTCGCGGCCCCCGGCCCCCGGCCCCCGGCCCCTCGCCCGCCGGCCGCGTCTGACGCCGCCCGTCTTCTCCGCGCAGAGCTCGCACGACCGCATCGAGAAGGAGGCGGCGAACGAGGCCTGCCGGCGGTACCTGGTGCGGTCGGCGCGGCTGGACGGCCGCGACCACCTGGCGCTGTACCACCTGGCGCTGCAGCAGCTGCGCGAGGGCGCCCTGAACGAGGCCATGGACGCGTGCCGCGCCTGTCTGGCCGCGCGGCCGGAGTGCGCGGGTCCGTGCCCCTCTTTGCCCCTCTTTGCCCCTCGCTCCTCGAACGGTCCACTGCCCCGGCGCCCCGCGGGCCGAGCGTCCCCGTTGCGGCACGTCGCGGAGGCCGGGAGTGCGGGATTGCCTCCTACCGTGCGAACCGGGCAATCCCCGGTCTCGCGACGAACACTTAAAGAGGCGAATGAGTGGCTGATACCCGTACCGAATATGTAAAAAAACACTGCCTTACTTTAAGATATTTTCTCTAACCTTTTATACCACACACACGCACAAATGGTTTAAATCTTACTTCGAAAATCGGAAACAATATGT